GTGCAGGCAAAATGCGTAGGCTTGGTCTCTTCCGGAGTGGCCTGGCCCTGCTGACACAGCCTTGGTGAGGTATTCCAGGCCTGGGGGGAAGGGGTTACTACCACTCCACGAAGAGCTCAAACACCAGTATTAACTGGTCACGTTCCTGAAGCAACAGCAAAGCTGTTTGAACAATTTACAAAGCTCATCATTCAAAAAAAAAATCCTAATGATCTCTGTGTGCAGCTGGGTGGAACTAGGAATAGAGGTGGTTATGGCTTAAGAAACCAAGATCCTACAGAAAAAAGTACTTTGGCGAAATAAGCCTAAATTCTGGGTAGCTTTTGTTCTTAAGTATGTGCTGAATCTTAAAGCAGCCCTGAATGAGAGACTGGGAAACCAAGTAGAAAATAGCTGCTAAGTGGCTACAGAGGGGAAAAAAAAGAAAATTATCAGATGTATGGAGTCTAAAACTAAAATTAGAATATGGGCCCACCAAGGAGGAGTAGCCTCAATTACACACCAGACTTTAAGTTAATACATCAAACGGAGAGATTAAGCAGCCCACAGAGAGCCAAACAAAAAAACAAAACAAAATTGCCTTGAACCATCTCAATGCCTGACTAAATCAAAATAATCTACCCTTAGTCTAATTACTGGGAAAGAAAGAGCAAGATAGTAAGAAAAGAAAAGATAGAGCAAGGGAGAGAGAGAGAGAGGAAGGGAGGGAGGGAGGGAAGAAGAAATTTTCTCCAGAAATAGATAACATCATCAAGCCCTTAGAATTTTTCAAATACAATGTCCAGCATTTAATCACAAATTATGAAATATGTCAGGAGATAGGACCAAATACTCAAAAATCTAGAGAGAAAAAGAAAAAATTGAGACACAGATGATCCAGATATTTGAATTATGAGACATAGAACTTACAGCGAATCTGATGAATGTTTCCAAGAAAATATATGGGAAAAGGAAAATTTCACCAATGATTTCTTTTTCAAAGAATCAAATGTAACTTCAAACAGAAAAAAAAATGCAATTACAGATATCATGGACTAAAGACATAGATTTAAACAGAAGACTGGTACATCCGAAACATAAGGTTATTCAACTGTAACACCAAACAGCGGAAAACATAAAGACAGGTGCACAGAGGAGGAAATTTTTATAAATAACACATGGGTCGAAGTAGAAATCAAACTGAAAAATCAGAAAATATTTTGAAATGAAAGGTAATACATTATTAAAACTTACAATTATGTAAGCATCCAGTTTATAAAGCTAGAAAAATAGCAAATTCAGCACAAAAAGAATAAAAGAAGAAAATTTAAACAAAATGGACAAATTAATTGAAAATACAATTTAGCAAAACTGACACAAGGACAAATAAAATATCTGAATAGTGGACATATATTTAGTAAATTGAATTCATAATTAAAAACAGACAAGGAAAATTCCAGGCCCAGATAGCTTTATCAGTTAATTTTTCAACACATTTGAAAAAAATAATAATACCAATCCTCTTAACAACATTTCCAAGCTCATTTTATGAAACCAGTATAATATTGATAGTAAAACCAGATAAGTATATCATAAGAAGAAAAATACAGGCCAATATCTCTAATAAACATAAATTCAGAAGTCTTTTTTAAGTCTTACTTAGCTAAAGCATAGACAAATAGAATTTAGTGATATTTGGAAAAGGAAAATACATCATGAACAATCTCTTTTAATCCAAGAATAAAATGTTGATTCAGAATTTGAACATCAATCAGTGTAGTTTATCACTTTGATAAATAAAGATTGAAACATGAAATCATCTCAATAGATATAAGATAAAAATTCAGGAACATCTAACACCTGTTCCTGGTTTCAAAAATTATGCTAGAAATAAAAAAAAAAGTTTAATCAAGCAAGAAATAAAAAGGGAACTTCCTTAATATGGTAAAGGGTATCTACCCAAAAAAATCTGTCATGTATCATACTTAATGGTTAAGTTTTGAAAGTTTTTACCCTGAGATAAGGAACATGATAAGATGTCCACGTGTATGACCACTACTGGTTAGCAATAGACCCCTGGAGGTCTTAGCTAGCATAAGAAGGCAAGAGGAATATATGATATAAAGACATAAAAAGAAGATATTAAACCATCATTATTCATAGATACATAATAAAAGAAATCTAAAAAACAATATGGGGCTAGTGGTTACTGCATTGGGTAATGCAGCTCTAGGACACATGCATAATGTTGCATATACTTAAAGATTCCTTAAGAGCAATAACCATAAAAGTAACGATTGATAAATTGTACTTCATTAAAATTAAGAATTAAAGCTTACCAAAGTATAGCATTGAGAGGGTAAGAAGGCAAGTCACAGAGTGGGGAAAAATATTTGCTATATAAACATTATAAATATGTGTGTGTATGGTTATAGGACTTGTATCCACAATACACAAAGGACAAATCAAAAAAAGAACCCAAATTTTTTTAAATGGGCAAAAGATTTATACAAGCACTTCTCAAAGGGAATATTCGAATGGCCACTGATCAAATGAAAAAGTGGCTATTATCATTAGTCATCAGGGAAATGAAAATTAAAGCTTCCATGAGATACAGTATACACCTGACAGAATGGTTGAAATATAAAATAGAGTTGGCAATACTAAATGTTACTATCAGGTGTGGAGCAATTGGAATTCTCTTAAATTACTCTTGGGAGTATAAATTGGTGCAAACACTTAGAAAAACTGGCAGTCTGTACTAACTGAACATATATAGTCTCTATAAATCAGTAATTCCACACTTGGTATATGCCCAACATAACACATATAATGTGCATCAAAAGACATGCATAAAAATATTTATAACACTATTTTTCATAAAAGCAAAAACTTGAAACAATTCAAATGTCTGTCAGTAATAGAATAGATAAATAGTAGACAAAATATGGACACATAAACACACACAATGGAATACTATAGAGTAATGAAAATCAACAAAATACTGCCATACTCTCAGACTGGAATGAATCTCACAAACATAGCATTCATTGAATAAGAAAAACAGAACCCAAAAAGTACATATCGAATAATGAATGGTGAACCAAGTCAGAACAGTAGTTATCTTTGGGAAAGAGTAATAACCAGAATGTTCTGGGCAGGAGGGAATGTTCTGGGCAGCTAGTGAGGTTCTGTCTCTTGATGTGTGTGGTGGTTACATAATTTTGTGGTGTTCACTTTGTTAAAAAAAAAAATTGTCATCTAGTATAACTATGAATTATGTATATATGTTGTATTTGAATTAAATATGTGTATGTACATATGCTATACTTGAATTTAAAAGTTTACCAAAAATTCTCATTTAAAAAATTAACCAAAAAATTTGAAAGACAAAATCAACGACCTAGATTCAAGTCCTACATCAAGTCATAAGTAGGAGATGCTTAAATGTAAAAGCACCCAGCCTGACTAGATGGCAGGAGCCTGCTCGCCCCACCTGTCTGTCATCTGTCCAGATCAGATAATTAATATCCTCACCAGAAGAAAGAAATAATCGCAGCCGCACCATTTTTGACTTGAGATTTTGCTTTTTCTACACCTAATTTTACTGAAACATCCTCCTCCCCCTTCCCTTACTCCTCAGCCCCCACCCCATGTCTGCATCCACTTCATTCAACTGAAACCACAGAGGACAGCAGATTCAGGTAGAGTGCAGGGGCAATTATAAAATAGATACTTTGTAAAGGCATTGCTGCCATTTGTGCCACTTGAAATATTATCCCTTACGAGTTTTCTCACTGAATTAGGGCCGTTTAATGTGTGCATACAGCCAAGGGGAAAATATAAAACTGATCAACAAGAACAGGAAAATTACTCCGGAGAATCTTTGTGGCTTTGTGAATTGTTGCTTGACATTGTGGTTTTACCAGATATAATGGCATGATTTACAATTTACAACAGGGCTTGGGGGATGCAGATACAAACATTTTTACTTAAAATACCAGGAGCAGATGGGGGAGAAAAACACAGACTGGACTTGGTCCAGATGCTGAGGATGTTGCACATATTCTGACTCCTACATGAAGGCATAAATATCACCAATTCCTCATCAACCACAGAAAAGGGAGAATGTCCTTGTGGAGGTAACCCGAACAGTAGATAAAAAGGAAATAACTTTTGTATGTCAAATTATTTTGAAGTCTATGTGTTGCAGTCTGTGGTTCTGCTTGCTTTTTCTCATGGAGAAAGCTGATGTCCTAGTTATTCATGATACGGCACACAAAATCGTGAAGCTGCACCATGAAGATGAAATTCCAGAGTTGCAAGGAGACTAGGAACTATCTAATTTTTCAGCTCTGTCCCAACCCGTAATTCTGCCCAACTGTACACTCCATGACTGATAAATAAGAATCCTGACTCAGAGAGGAGATCTTAAAAGTCCTCATCACAGAGAAAAATAAATTTGTAACTATGTAGGGAGACTAATGTTAACCAGACTTACTGTGTTGATCATTTTACAATATATATAAATACTGAATCATTATGTTGTACACATGAAACTAATACAATGTTGTATGTCAATTATAATGATACCTCAATTTTTAAAGAAATCATGATAGACTGGAAAGATACCCAGACCTGGATCTTAGTATCAGATCCTCCTCCTGGTCAAGGTCTTTATTTCCTCATTAATAAACCTAGTGGGAGATGATCAGATGATTGTTAAGGCCAACCTGACTCATAGTGTCCTGTAGCCCATTTAAACATACCTCACCCTACATCTAAGACCACTGGCTTTCCCAGTCTCATTGGCCTCAGTATCATTATTTTCATTTTGAACATTTCAATCTTCTAGTTTCTGTTGAACTCCAATTTCAGTAGCAGATGGCCATGGTTATAAAAGCAATAGAGAAATTAAGTAACAGAGATGTTAACTAAGAGATGAAAACAAGCTTTGCCAGAGATAAACTGCAAAATAATCTACTTATAATCAATACAAAGGTGGCTGCATTTCCAATTACCTGAGTATCAACAATGACACTCATCTCCTCTGAAGAAAGACCTAGAGGAAATGAGATAAAAATGCAGTAAGTGGGATAACAGCTAGAGATAGAGAAGAACTTTCTGAGATTTTTTTTTTTATTATTCAAACTAGCACACATTATAGAGTTCCTTCTTGGGTCTTATTTTGTACCACCTGGCCGACATGTTCAGTTTTTCCCAGGTCTATGTTGGTGCTGAAGAGGTTATGATAATCAAATTCTCAAAAGACTTACAATAAAAAAGATCAGTAGGTCTTATGACATTTTTCAATAGAAAAGGGAGGAAAAGGGCAATATCAAAAACAATGGCTAGGATGCCTCCACTCGAGAAAGTTTAGGAATTGCTGCATTCAGGAGCTCCTTCCCTGGGAGAGGCCCTGGAGGATAGACCCTCTATCAGCCACCGGAGAACAGTGACTATGCTTGGAGGCAAGTGAAAAATAATGGCATTGCCAAACAGATGGTTCTCGTTTGGGGCTGAAATGGAGAGCATGTCGCAGGCAGCATGTCTCTCAAATTCCAGATTCTGTCATAACGTGGTTTGTGACCTACGTGAGGCTCCTGAGAGTCTGAGGCAGAACACCTGTTCTCTGCTCCCCTGCACTCACTCCCCGGAGTGATAACACAAGTCTCTTCACACCTCGACCTCAGGGCCAGGCAGACACTGCGGCAAGCCCTGACGACTTCTCGAAGGAGGAGGAGCCCCGACGAGGCAGCCTGGAGTATGATCAGTGGTGGTGGGTACCCTAACTGTGTAGATTAGGAAGTCAACCCTGTGGCCCAGAAGGCCTTGAAAGCATCTTTTCTCTTGCCTCTGTCCCTGGATGTGGCTTGATGGATGCAGCCTGCTTAGCATCCCAGATTTTCAGGGAAGAGTAAGAAAGCTGTAATGGAAGCTAACCAATTATGAGAACTCACCAAAGAGAAATTAACAAGTTGTAGCAGGTCACATGGTAAACTGATTTTGGCTGATATCACAACTACTGTCAAAACATCTGGGACAACCTGTTCTGGGCACAAGAAAGATTTCTTGACTGCATTCAGTCTTGTTTAACTTGAGACAAATTACTTAACTTCTCTGGACCATTTATAGCAGAACCTTTTTCCACCAAATATCTAGATATTGTACAAAAATGCACATAATACAAAAGGATTTAGAAAAAATATTTGCAGGAGTGAGAACAAAGGAAAAATATGATTATAAAGATGGGAAAATAATAAAGTTTTAGTGGCATTCGCACACAAAATATATGACATCTAGTTCTATGAAGCCAATGGAGATTGACTAAAATGAGGCCACTGAGCTTCCTTCCAGCCAAAGCAAAGAGGAAAAGATGAACAGTTCTAAAATACAGGGTGTACATAAGAGGCAGGGAAAGCCAAACCTTTCCTTAATCAAGGCCTGGAAGGAATTTTTAGAAGATCTTCATAAATAAGACTCTATATGAAGCAATGACAGCATCTTCCATGAAATTCCTAAACCCTAAGAGGTACATGTAGCTGTTAAGGTCCCTTATTCTTTACAGATAGAATAGGAAAGATACCATAGTTCAGTCAAACTCTTTCAATGGGATATCGTGAAGTTGAAAAGAACTGATTGCTGGAAGTCTGAGCTCTGTGAGATGGAACTAATTTGGTTGAAGTGAGCTCATGAAAGAATGTGTCATGCCCTCTGCCAAACAAAACCCTGGACAGCTTGATGGGTCATTTAGCAAGACCAGATGAATCCTGAGACTTTGTCTCTTACTTGGGTAAGGTGCAAACATATCCTTTATTTACCACTCAGAGTTACATGAAGCAGGGACTGTGCCTAATGTAAATACCTATAGGGCTTCTCAGCAATAACACACACATAATAGGGTTTTAAAAAATGTTTCCCTGGGTGAGGGACTGAATACATAAATTTCTGTTCTCAACCTAATACTTTAGTATTAGCTCTCAGTAAGCCTTTAAAGTCATACCATAATTAAACTTTGGCTATAAAAAAAAATACACAAAAACAAAATTCATTATTGCATCAGCCTTAAAAGACTCCATTTTGATATCTAACCTCCTATTTAAATGGCAGCAGCTATTGTCTAAATCAACCAACCATTAGCTGAATATTGCTATCAGCCCAGGTGCAGTTTACTGACTTGAGATACACATTCAGTCATTGGACATTACTAGCCAGGCCACGGGTGCCCCAGTGGGTCTCAAAATTTTTAGCCGGAAACATTTGTTCATATAAAATTGACATAGAAGGATATACCAATGATAGCTGACCCACTGTAGTTGAGGGGGTAGGGGACCCCGATAACTCACTCCATTTGGCACCAAAATCAGCCCCACATGCCCTCCCAAACACACTCACATGCCAGCCACTCCAGACCCCAAAGACACGGGCTGGCCTCCTCTCCCATTATGGAGGAGAAGTGGACACATTCAGTTTTGTGACTTGCCCAAATATCACACCATCTTCAGACCCTGGAAAAGCCCTGCAGCCCCAAACTGAACGGAAGGTTCTAGAGCATGATAGCAGACAAAAGTGAGCCAGAAGAAATGACAAGAAGATAGAGGTCGCGGTGGCGGGCAGAGTACATACTCGGCAGGAGGCCCGGGCCCCTTCCTGACGCCCTGTCCTCGGGTACACCTGGCAGGACTGCCGAGGGTGCAGTCTCTCCCACATGGGAAAGCGGGGGAGCCCAGTCCCGGACGAAGAGAAGGAACACAAAGAGAAGGGTGACGCTCTGCTCTTGGGTGAGCCTTTATTCCCCCTGAGGCCACCCACTAGGCCGGGCGCTGTGCCTCCCTCAACCCAAGCTCCTCCTGCAGAGGCCACGAGAGGCCTCCTCCTCGCCTTCCCGCTGGTCAGTGTCCTTCTGCATCCGCCGAGCCACCGCCGAGCAGTGACGACCACCCCCATGGACCCCGAAACTCCAACTAATTAGAGGCGAATAATTAAACACATTCAGGCGGGGACAGTTGGCAGAGCCCCCCTGCATTGTGTGACCACCTTGGCACCGAAATGGTTAGAGACCATATCCCTCCACATTGCCTCCTCTCATTGTGGTGGAGAGCTCTTGAGAACGTTATTAGCTGGGTGTGCGCCTTGCCGTTTTTCCACACGAGGCAGATGGGTAATTACGAAGCTAATAGTCTGATTGAGAGAAATCAGATGCAGTGGTTTGCCCAATTAGATGATACATTAGCTTCCTTCTTTGTAAGCAGCTAATGTGTGAAGCAAAGTGGTATTTTCGAGGGTCAGAATCCTTAAACAAGTGCCGAGTTGCAGATTATTGTATCTCTCTTTTTTTTTCTAATGGAGGAAAAGTGCTAAGTCTTCATTACTAAAAGCATAGAAAATGCAAATCAGCTTCTGAAACAAAAGAGAGAAGGGACAGGCGAGAATATTTGGTGTCCGATGTGTCAACCTACAACATCAATTACATTGAAATGCAATGCATGGCAGCCTAATCAAGGATAGTATAATTGTAATAATTGCGTGCTTTTGTTGGAGAGCCGCTGCTGTTGTTATTTGTCAACCATTTGTTCCTCTCTATTGTTAAGGGGGGGAAAGATTTTTTTTTTAATGTAACTGAGAGATTGTGTAGGTAATGGGTGAGTGGGCGGCCATCCTCAGAATGTGTATGAGGGTCTTGCTTCTCTGCTGCAGGGCGGCTCCTCTGTGGCCCTAGTGAGTTAGTTGCTGGGACAGCACTGTGAGCTTGGGGCAGGAAGGGATGAAGTGACCAGCCATGTGAACGTAGGCGTCCGTCTCTGTCTGTGTCCCCAGGGTCCTGGGGCAGAGGCGAGCAGAGCAACAGACCTAAGGAGGCTGGAAGGAAAGCGGTGCTGGTGGAAAAATGCCTCAGGCCACATCCTTCTCCTCTTTAGCAAATATAAAAAGATGGAAAGGAGAGAGGCGATGGAGCTGCTGCACTGAGTTCTCCGCTGCATCTAGTCTAGGTCTAAAGAAGGACTTGTGTTTTTTTTTTTTGGAAAGGGTTGCTGCCTGCAGAACTGGCTAAAAAAACACCAACAAGAAGAAAGCTGGTATACCGGCCAGGGTAGCACTGTCTGCCAAGGTGCAGACAGGAGCTCAGGCTCTAAAGCTCAAACCCAGCTCAGTCCTCACTGGCCAAGGGAGCCCAGCCATGCCATAGCCTCGGTGTCCCCCAGGGTGGCAGGGGCCGAGAATCACCCTGACCAGCACCTTCCCTGTGGGCAGCCTCCAAATCCAGGATTCTCAGGTCTCCTGCAGAGAGAGAGAGAGAGAGTTCTCTACACGCCTCTGTTGTATCAACAAATGTCTTGTCCTTCTCCCTCCCTCTTGGTCTCTTTTTCTTTTCATGTGTATAGATATTTCCTAAAACATACTTACAGGGGAGGGAGGGAGAAAAAGCCAGCTGAATAGCCAACTCTGGAAAGAAACAGCAAGGAAAAAAAACAAAACAGAACCGAGCAAGGATGTCGGCAGAGAGCCGAAGTTGACCAGGAAAATTCTTCTTAGGAGCGGCTCTCAGCATTCAGATCAGATAAGAGGTTTATTTTCTCACTTCAGTTGGTCTTGCCAATAGGTTGAAACAGAGGCACAATGGAAATGGGCTAAAACATTTAACAGAGCTGTTAAATCCCATTCTCCACAGCTAAAAAAGAACAATCACGGGCCGTCTTTACGGAGGGGAGGCTTCATGGGCTGTAGGAGGCTTTGCAGTGTATCCCTGACAATCCTGTACATACTCCAAAACTCACACTAATTAAAAGCAAATAATCAAATACATTCAATTTGAAAAGTTGGCAAACTCGAGTGTATTATTGCGTTAGCACCTTGGCATGGAAATGCTCGCATCACACTAATCTCGTTGTGCAGAAGAGCTCTTGAGCTCGCTATTCACCCAGCTCACGCCCCCCTCCCGTCCGCTCCCCTTTGGGGCTGCCTTCCCCTTCCCCAGGCCCTTGTTGCTCCCCCACCAATTCTCTCACTTTTACAGCAAAATAAGACCAGAAACTGGGCCTCAAGATGGGCGTTTGCTTTCAG